TGGTTTGTTAATTGTTATTTTTAATAATATATATATATATAAAGAAAAGAAAAGAAATATTTTCAATTGTTAATAAAAACAATTTTTGTTGGATGAGTTATATATAACGATGATAATGGTTTTTGTTTTTTTAATATTGATCTACTTCCATATCTCACTCCACCCACCACCACCACTGTAATAATTAGAGTAGCAAGGGTGACATTTTGTTATTGTTGCTTCTGCTAGGGAGCTTGCTGCTGTTGATGAGGAGGTGGTCATCTTTTTTATCATTATTATTATATTAGCTTGTTCTGATTTTGAATAATAATTAATAAAATGTTTTGATTCGCGTCAATCACATGACTTAATTATAAGATCGATCTACTTGTACATCCATTTTTCACTTGTAGATCTGCATATCACACGTGACAAAAATAGAGTTTGGCTATTTTTATTTTGTGTACTGAACAGGTCAAAGGTTAAGTAATGTCACACAACAATTTTATTAAAAATGTCACAATTAGTAAAGCAAATGTCACAATTAATGAAGCAAATGTTATAATTAATTGAAACACTGTCACAATTAATTGAAGAAAATGTTGCATATTTTTTTGATGTTCAATTTTCTTTTATTCATTTTTATATAAATAATGGGCTCTTGTCTAAATGAATTTTTAATTTTGTGTATACTACTATATTACAAAGTAAAAGATCAATTGAAGAATAACATGATTTGAAGAAAATAGAATCAATTTTTGTCAGTAATATCCATTAAATTCAATCATGTTTTTGACACATACATGACCTTGCATTATGTTTGTTGTACAAAAAGTTTTGAGAAAATGCACATAACTTTATAAATTTGAAGGCAATTGATTTGGAAATTTTTTTTAAATAAAAGAAAGAGTTCCCATATTTCAAATAAAAAAGACAAATATTTTTTTGGTTGTTAATTATTGAGATATTAAATTTTAAAGATTAACAACAAAAACAACTGGAAATTTTTGTCATAAGGTATATACTTGATGATTTTAAGTGTAATAAATTTGAAATTCTTTTTATAAAAGTAAATTTCTTCTCATCTTTCAAATAAAAAAAGGTTACTTTCTTTTACCAGTTAGTTATTGAGATATTGAATTTTAAAAATTATCAACAAAAACAAGCCTTATACATTGGCTATCTAAAAGATTGAGAAAGGCTGAAATAAATTAATGCATTGCTTCAAAATAGTTTCCATCACTATCTATGCATTTTTGTAGCCTATTTTTCCAATTTTCAAATAATTTCTGATAGTCCTCTTTTGTGATGCCATCTGTGATTGCCTGGATTGCACATGCAAGATTTTCAATATGATCAAAATACTATTTTTTAGCTCTTTTTTAATTCTAGGAAAGTCACAAGAAGCTAAATCTGGGCTATATGGAGGTGAGAAAGTGAAATAATTTTTTCCTCTTCTAAATACTTGTTACAATTTTTGATTTGTGTGGAGCAGCATTGTCATGATGCATCATCACATTTCTTACTGTTTTTCTATTTTTTAATTCTTTATATTTTGAAAATACAATAGGCAATACATTTGTTCTATAAATGTGCCATTTACAGTCTGACCTTTTGGTACAACAATTCTTGCCACAATACCTTCAATTGAGAAAAAAACATAAAACATCCTTTTTTTAGCATTTTGCGCAGTTCTGGCAATTTGCAGCCAATTTTCTCCATGTTTTATTTGATTCTTTACTTGGTACAGTATAAAAATGAAACCAAGTTTCATCACCTGTGATATTATTAAGTCAATTATCAAGGATTTCTAACAATTGCTTAGAAATTTCAACCCAATTTTTTTTTATTTTCAACAGTTAAAACATGTGGGACCCATTTTTTACAAATTTTATGAACTTTATTCATTATGTAAAACACTTTGAATACATCCTCTAGAAATACCTATATTCTCTTCAATAGCTGTAATTGTCATATGAGGATCATCACTAATTAAATCATAAACTTTTGCAATGTTTTCAGGGGTGGAAGTTCTTGAGGACATCCGGAATGTGAATCATCTTCAACACTATTTTTTCACTTTCAAATGCTTCAATCCAATGATAATTAGATGCTAAAGATATTGCATTAGAACCTTAGCAACCTGTAATTCCTGTTGAATTTGTTTAGCTGGTTTGCTATTTTTCCAGCTAACAAAAATTTAGTATCTTTTGGTATTTACATTTTGAATTTTCCATTTGTTTCTACTGGTAAACTTTAAAAATTACAACTAACAACAAATGACTCAATTTTAATGATTTTTTTTATTTATTTAAAAGATTGTGACTTAAGGGTTTTTTATTCCCGCTTTTACTTTTATTAAAGAAAAGGTCATCAAGTTACATGTATTTTCTCAAAACTTTTTGTACAACCCACATATTCTGATCATAGTAAAGGACTTTTTTTTGGGATATGGTGATGCAGAAAGGTGGAAAAGAGTAGCCGAATTGTATGGTACAACGAAACCATCTCAGGAAAAAAGATCTAAAAAAGGTTCTGTTATAGAACACCAGATACAACAAATGAGTTTTAAAAATAATGCAATTGAAAATCTCCCACAGAATTACCAATCACAAAAATTTATGTTATATAACAGCTTTATTAGAAGCATTAGCAGTAGGGAGGGTGAGAAGGCTTTTACGTATTTCTGATTAAATTTGACCATTTGAATCTGCAAGGTTTTTAGCCATTTTAGATGATGATTTTATACAATAAAAATCATTACTATTGATTATTTTTTGGTAGGTTTGTAAAGCAGTTAAAAACGCACATAATTCAATAATTTTGAAATTTGTATGACCATTTAATAAAGCTCTCGCCTAGTGGTTATATCCGCCGAATGATATTCATCACGTTTTTTATTGTTAATTAATTGAACGAAAATTTTTTAATACATGTAATCGATAACACACTATTTATCTCCACAGTCTCCAGAATTAGATGATGTAGGTTATTCAGCGGTAAGGCTCCAAACAAATCGAATCTAGTCGAATTTTAAAGTGATTCGATTTGAATCAAATCGGATTCTCTTCAATGTCATATTAATAGGGTTTCTTATTCGAATAAGGTTTTTCGAATGATTTTTTTATTCGTTATGAATTTGATTTTTCGAAATACATTCGAATAAAACGAATAATTCGAATAAGAATTTGTATTCCGAGTAGAAACTCTGCATATTAATATTAATAACGATAACAAACAAAGTAATATAATTTACAGTTGCACGATTCATTGTTTTAATTTAAATAATAAATACAACAATGATGAATGACGATAATTGCATTGTTGAAAATGATGCCTCTTCAATTACTTCTTTAACAGGCACGGTGCAATATGTTCAATGAAGAACAAGAAGTGAAGTATGGAACCATTGGTTCGAATTTCATCGATTCGTTTGGAACCATTATATTCGGTGAGTAATCGAGTAATCACCTATTATCTTAGTGCAAGGTTTTTTAGTTTGACTGATTATCTGGATGATCAATGGATACAGCCACCACTCTCGCCAAGTTTTCTTCATAAAAAGCATTGGTTTTTTTTTTCAATGCATAAATTTAGCAAACATTTTTTGTTTTGATTTTTTTCTAGAATTACACAATGAATCTAAAGTCTTTTTATATCATTGATCGTTATTGTTAATTTATAAGGTCCAACATGAGTGAAAGAAAGAAAAGTTAATAAGTAATCTTTAATTATTAAATTTTTTTTTTGTAAAAAATGATCTACTGTCTCCGTTTGAGTTGGGAAATAGAAGAAACCCTAATCGCGGAATATCATAACGTTCCACTTTTTTGATTTTGCTCTCAAAAAATTCTTGATTACAGATTTCCAATATCATTATTAATCAATAATAATTATTCCAGCTTTTGCAATTTTTTTTCCTATAATTATTTAAATAAATTCTTTATAAATTATTTTAACGGTTCTATTTGCTAAAAATGGGGGTCTAGCTCAGATGGTAGAGCGCTCGCTTAGCATGCGAGAGGTACTGGGATCGATGCCCAGGTCCTCCACTTTGAACTTTTTTTCTCAACTACTTTCATTTTTGCGTGTAACCAATGATTTTTGGTTGGTTGAAAATTAATCATCATAAAATTCATTTTGAAATATTAATATTAGATGTAATAAAATCCAATAAAAAAGATTGCTAATTTTAAAATAAATAATCAAGAAAATGAAGAAAATAAGTCCAATTGAAAAATATTGTCGATTGAATGGATTGTCTGTTCATTATGCGTTTATTTGTGGTAAAGTTGGAACAAATGAAATGAAAACTGGTAGGATTGACTGAGGGGTATAAAGTAATTAATTGAACAAAATTAATTTATACATTTTGATTTGTGATTATCTTCTTTTCATACTATTGTCGTTGTTATTATTATTAGGTTGGAAAATCTATCGATGGCTTTAACATCATTAACAGAGACTGTGAAATTCCAATATTTTGGATTCTTTATAATTGGGAGATAAAACACGTTAGTAAGCTGTAAATCCATAATTTCAATGTTATACGAATTGAATTTAAGAAAATGTTTTGACATTTAAATTTTAATCAAATTTTTTCAGATTTATAGAATTACTAAATTTAAAACAAATCAAAGGAGGAAAGTTGGAATTCCAGAATTGATAAAAAGAATATGTAAAGCGGTAGTAAATTTTGTATTGTAAGTCCTCAAGGCGTTGAAATTAAAGAGGCTTGGAAGTATATATCTGAATTGTTACATATAAAAAAGATTGTGTCTAATTACATATCTATATGTATATTGTGTGTGAATATGCTGATAATTGAGACTAAATCATAATAAATTATATAATATAACACAAGAATTATTTTGTGAATTTTTTTTTATTAAAAGGCAATAAACTATATTCACATATTTGTAAAGATTTAGAGAAATATAGAAACGATAAATATTGTTGTATGTACATAAAAAGAAAGAAAAAATAAAAAAGAAAACTTGTAATCAAATTAAACGAATCATTCACTTTTTCCAATTACTTAATAGTAACAATGCATTTTTCATACTTGCCAAATGCAATTCAAATGGAATATCTACGAGGAGTGGCTTGTCTATTCCACTGCTTAAAACGTTTAATTGCGTTTCAAATAACTTTAACTGATGTTTAATGTTCATGATTGAATCAACCATCAATTTTTTTCTATCGTCAAATTCTTCAAGAAGTTTCAAGTTTCTGTCAAAAATAATTGTATTGATTTGACCATCAAAAATTGACCACAATTCGGAAATCACCTTGTTGTGATCTTTTACAATTATATCCTTTTCTTTTTCAACAATGTTAGCAATTTCTGATTGAATAGCTTGCGAATTCAATACTCTATTGAAAGCACGTATAATAATCATTATTTATTAATGATTGATTACCTTATAGTGAATGAATTTATAATAGATAAATAAATAAAAGTTTATATATCTTTACCCAAGTAAAATATCATTAGTTGATGTAATCAATTTTTTAAGATGGTTATCAGTAGCAACTATAAGTCGACGAAAAATTCTATCTATAACTTTTAGGTGACGTGGCGTCAATGTTTCATCCCTCATATCTTCTAATTTTGTTAATGAGTATCTTATATAAAGCATTGATAAAGAGGCTTGTGATTGGATTTGCAGCTCTCGTAGATTCTTGTTTATTTTATGATCCCAATCAATAAATTTTTTCAAATAAACTGTTAATATCGGTGCAGAGTCCAAATTTGAATATTCCACAACTCTTAAAAGATCTTTGAATGCCATTTCTTTTATTTGTTTCGCTAGAGGTTCGTTAGAGAAGGAACCAGATTTTGAGATATGTTTGATCAACTCATTTTGAGTTTCAACTTGTAAATCAATAAGTCTTTTAAAGTTAGGAAGAGAAATCATGCAAGTTCTAGGAAAATAATTTTCTGATCCAGGAACTATTCTACAAAAATAATCAACAGCTATAGGAGAAGTATTATTATATGCAATGTGACCAATATAATATGAAGCAAAGATAATAAATAATGATAATAATAGTTGTTTTCGAGTTGATGATGATTTAATGTACTTGGAAACAGTTTGCAAACGACAATTAATCTGGTGGACGGTTCTATTAATTTTCTCAGAAATCCTTTGCAATCGATTTGTTTTTACTCTTAGAAGTTGACTAATTTTAGAAATATCAAGGTTTCGATTGTATTCAATCACATATGCATATTTTTGAAAGACTGGTAAAAATGACAGTCCATAAATTTTTGGAAATGAGGGATCTTGAGAACGACGATTGTAATTTTCCTTTGCCTGTTATATAATATTAAATAAATAATAATAATAAACGTTGAATCACACATAGATGATAGATAATAAAACAATATTACTTGCATTTTTAATCAAATTCGGTAAATGCGCTTCATCAATAATAATCAAAATAACTTTAGTGGGACCTGTCCGAGCTTTTGTGAACGCATCATTTTGATCAATTAAAATTTTTTCTCCAGCTAACCATGTACCCATAAATATATTATTTATGATTCCAATATCTTCAATGCGCTCAGACGGAATCCATTCCCAATACTCTTCATAGTCATTGGCCTTTTTCACATGATTTTTTATAAAATTATCAATGATATCATTTCCACTTGAAACAAGCTTCTCTTCTGCAGTTTTGGCATCACAATTATTACACCATGTAAAACCTGTGTTTGGATTTTTACATTCAACACAAATTCCGTTATTCTTGGCAAGGTTTCCAATATCTTGTGGGATAATAATGCGTTTATTAGTAGACAATGGGATCTGTGAACTATCGTAAAAATGCATATTTTTTTATTTTGTAACTGTCATTTGAATGAAGAATCAATCTGTGTGAGAGAACTTTTGAAAAATTTAGACGATCGTTACTAAACTAAGGATGTACATTTTTTCCAGAAACCTTTCAAAAAAATTTTGAACATTTTTATTCTAATTCAAAAAAATATTACTTGACAAGGTATATATAATTTTTTATACGAATAGAAACTAATCCTTGGATATTATTTTTTTTAATGAACATAAAATACAAAAATTATGCCAAGATCTCTAAAAAATGAAAGAATATTTAATTTTATTTATTATTAACAATATAATACAATTAAAAATGCGATTTAAGCAGTTAATGAATGCTCTCCACAAAACAAAAAGATCAAGCCCTGCATAAAACGCAGTTAATATTAGTTAATAATCTATAAAGGCACATAATTATGATATAAATACCATCATAAATAAATAAAAAAAAGGCAAGCACTTATTTAATTGTTTAATTGATCTATTAAAAATTTTGATAAAAATGGGAAATGATTTTTACCAGTATCTTAAATATATTTTCTACGCGGCTTTCACTTTCTTCTCTAGATGCATTGGCATGCATTCACTCGCTTGATCGGACGAGAATAATGGTGTTATATTGTTTAATAACATCTGTGCAACATATTATTACTTTTTTACTAGTCCTCTAACTTTGTTGTTATATTGAAAATTCTTTGCAGTACTCAAAAAAGTTGTTCTCGTCACAAGGTTAGTTTAAAATTATTTTTATATTCTATAAAAAATTGGTACTCGCTTGAAATATTTAAGCAAATAAAATTTTTATATAATTATTAATAGCATACATGCTTCAATTGTGATTATCTAATTACCCACACCCACACATAAATCATTTATAATAATAGTAATGGTAATAGTAATAGCGCGACGGTAACAATATAATAATAATGAAATTGCAAATATAACCATGGATTAGTTTGTCCCAATTACAATCATTTTTGGTAATTTAAATGTCCAATTTCCTTCCACACTAATCATGATACACAATTCTTATCTTCAAGTTGACGCACCTCTCCAAGTTGATGCGCTTCTGCTTTAATATTTTAAAGATTTGAATTTTAATTGGTGTTATTTTAATAAATCTTTATTAAATTGCAAATAATGGTTGTTTATAAAGAAATTGTTTTATGAAGAATATAAATTTATTTATTTAGCATAGCAGCAAAATTTTGTTAATGTGTTGTTCGATTTTAATCCTCAAAACAATGTGGTATTATTATAAGTAAAACATAATAATGTCAATCAATATAAACAAATTATAAAATATAAATAAAAAAAACTTGTTACTTCCATATACTGATAACACGCACGTATTATTTAACGTCCCCACTGCGTGATATTACGTGATTTATCCATCAATACTACTCGCTGTTTTCACCATTACGTTCTTTCCATTCTTTGAATTCTTTGCATTTTCGATATTTTCCGAGATTTACGTTTTCAAAGACTGTTAGTATTTTATTACTTGTACAGATAGGTATACCTTTATATAAAACGAGTCAGTTATTTGTCTTTCCGGTGACGCATGGGTGCAATGTATTCCCACTTGAAGAAGTAAACAAGTACTCGGGTTTAATATATTAATAATTGACTCCGGAATTAATTTTTAGCGTTTACTGGTTACATCCCACATATATTAATAAAAAATTTGTTTTTTTGATTTTATTATTTCTTTATAAATTTTTTAGAGATTCTTTAATTCCTTCGAAAATCATTCATTCTACTAGCATGATTGATATTTATTAAAATAGTTTATTTATTTGTATCTAACAAATCTATATATATATTTTTTTTTATTTATTATTTATTTATAATATATATATATATATATATATATATATATATAAATATGATTAATTTTAAAAAATGCAAAAAAAAAATCAAAATTTAATTAATATTCCTTCTTCCAATAATAATAATTTAAATACTTCTACTACAAACACAAAAAAAACCACTTCGGCGTCGCCACCTCATCCTTCTACTGCCACCATCCCATGTTCTTCAAATATAAACAACAACAATATTGTGAATAATTTACCTCAATCTTATAATTCTTTTTCATTACAACAACAGTTTTTTACCAAATTACAAGCAACCAATAACAACAACAACGACAATAATAATAATAATAATAATAATAATAATAATAATAATAATAACAATAATAATAATAACAATAATAATAATAATAGTAGTAGTTGTAGTAGTAGTAGTTGTAGTAGCGATAGTAACAAAATTTCTTCCAAGGAAATGTCAAAAATTAATAGACACAATAATAACTCGCATACTTCTTCCACTTCTCATAGTAACAATAACAACAACAACAACAACAACAACAATAATGCCAACCTATCAATTCAAACTGGACCTCCTAATCCAAATGCCAAATATACACTTTCAGATTTCAACATTTGTCGCACCCTAGGAACAGGTTCTTTTGGTAGAGTACATCTCGTACAATCAAAATATAATAATAAGTTTTATGCAATGAAAGCACTAAAAAAATCAGAAGTTGTACGTTTAAAACAAGTTGAACACACGAATAATGAAAAACATATTTTAGAACAAGTAAAACATCCTTTTTTGATCAATCTATGGGGGACATTTCAGGATAGTGCTAATTTATATATGGTGATGGATTATATCGTTGGGGGTGAATTATTTAGTATATTAAGAAAATCTCAGGTGAGTTAGTGTAAATTATTTATTTATTTATTTATAATCACAATCGCAAAATTCTAATCCCCGGTTCCGATTTCGGTTTTTATTCCTAATTAGAGATTTCCTGATCATGTTGCAAAATTTTACGCAGCAGAAGTTATACTTGCATTCGAGTATTTACATTCAAAAGATATAATTTATCGTGATCTTAAACCCGAAAATTTATTATTGGATCGTAACGGACATATAAAAATAACGGATTTTGGATTTGCCAAACATGTGCCCGACATCACATGGACTTTATGTGGTACACCTGATTATCTTGCTCCAGAAATAATTCAGTCAAAAGGTTATGGCAAAGCAGTTGATTGGTATTCATTAGGTGTATTGATATTTGAAATGTTGGCAGGTCATCCTCCATTCTACGACGATGATCATATGAGGCTATACGAGAAAATCTTGGCTGGTAAAATAAAATATCCGTCATACTTTGATCCGCTAGCAAAAGATTTACTAAAACGTTTGTTGACTGCTGATTTATCAAAAAGATATGGTAATCTAAGAGGTGGCAGTAAAGATATTAAAAATCATCAATGGTTTAAGAGCGTTGATTGGGAAAAATTATTAAAACGAGAATTCATTCCACCTTATATTCCAAATGTTAAAGGTGAAGGTGATGCAAGTAATTTTGATGTTTATCCTGAAGAAAGGGAACCATATGGTAAACCATGTAATGATATTTTTAGGGATAAATTTTCATCATTTTAAATTTTTTGGTATATTTCTATATATATTTCATTCATAGAAGTGTAGTATATATATGTATATATATATTGTGTATATATATATGTATGTATGTATGTTATTTATGTATATATGAGTAATACATATTCATATATTCATATACAATATATATATATGTAGATTTTTTAATTTATTAATTATTTTAATATTTAATAATAATAATAGTAGTAGTAGTAGTAGTAGTAGTAGTAGTAGTATTAATTAGTATTTTCACAATTTTACTTTTGTAAAAAATAATAATAATACTAAAAAAATTACAGAAATAAAAAAATATTATAGTATTAATATAAAAAATTTCTATTCACACTTGTTAAAATGTCAAATAAATAAATAAATATTTTATTGCACATGCTGAAATAATGATAACAAACTACCTCACAAAGTCAGCAACTGGTTTTCGTGATGATATGGTTAAGGATTTTGACTGGAATTTCAACATAATAAAATTTGTTTATTGATCGATTGATTGATATCAGACAATTCCAGTTCTATGAGCCATTATAACACCTGATATAGCAAACACAATTATTCCTGCTAATATAGAAATAAACCATGTCAAGCCTTCACTTTCTTGTCCTGGGACCGGAACATTCATCCCCCATAAACCTATTTATTATTAACATCGTATAATTAATGTATTTAAATATTTAAAAAACCAATTTAATTATTGTTTAAATTATTTACCAGTCACAAGATTCATCGGAATTAAAATGGTTCCTAATGCTGTAAGTCTAGATAAAACATCATTGATTTGATTATTGGCTTCAGTCATTTCAATTGAAATTTGTGCCAAATAATTCGAATGTGATCTAGAAAGTATTTTTTCATAATGATTCAAATTCTGGACCATTGTAATGACATGATCTAGAAAACATGCAAATTGATATAAATTAATATATAAATTAAATAAAATTAATACCAATCTAGAGAGAGGTAAGTACCTTGAATATCTCCTAGGTATAATAAAATTTCATTACTAATAAACACATCCCATCTCAATTCATAACATCTTTTTATTAATGCTTTCATAACATCTGCTTTACTTCCTAACAATCTCAATAATCCCAACACTCTTTTACGGCAATGTCCTATCCTACGTAACATATCAGTTTGTTCACATTCCTTGAGCATCAACACTAATTCATCAATAGAATCCACTTCAATTTCAATCTTTTGAATAAGTGGTGCAAATGAATCTGTCACATCATCAATTATTGCATAGTTTATCCAATCTATTACAATTAAAAAAATATAATCATTATTATTATTAGAATTAAGATTGATAATCGGGTTCGTTTTTTATCTTTTGATAAATTACCAGGTGTGACAGTTATATAATCTTTTAATTGTCTTATTCTACGTCTAACATTTGCTGGATGTGGTGTTGGATGAAAGTGAAACTATTTTATTATAATAAATTAATACGATATAGAATAAAACAACAGCAACGATGATGATAAAAATAATAATAGATAAAACATACCGATAAAACTCCTTCTTTCATTACGATAATATAAATAATCACAGGTTGTAAATAGGTTGAAGAATAATGATCTTGATCAAAGGATCGAAAACAAATGAAATAATAATCTTTAAATATTTCACATTTTTCGCGTGTCTCTTCTGTCTCTATATCTTCAATAGTCAAAGGATGAATACCGAATATCTTTTAAATTCAATTAAATTACCAAAAAAAAATAATAAATATTAATATTAAAAACATAAAATATTAAATATTAATATTTATATTTCAAGGTATCAATATCAAAAAATCCATTTTAAAAAATCGTGAAAAATACTACCTTACCAAATTCTTTCATTTCTTCATCTGTAGGTGATAATACATCAATCCACCAACATCCATCTTTCAACATTTCTGATAATGATGAATCTGCTGATGGTATTTCTGCCAATGTACGTGCATGTACTGTACTATGTATTGCAGAATAAAACGTAAGTCTGTATAGTATTTCTGAGTTATGCTAATAGATATTATAAACATAAATATTATTAATAAATTCATTTTATTATTGTTTGTTAGTTATAATAAATTGATTAATTAGAACAAAAAATCGCAACCTTATTAATTTCCAAATTGGGACAATGATTATTACTTTTCTTTCTAACAAATGCGGACGCCGGCTCGCTCAATCTTCTTTGTCGACGTCTTTGTTGATTTCGACGTTTTTCATTCTCCACCTTCACATAGTTCTCGAGAGCTTCGTAATCAATCCCTGTAGGTCGTTTAAATCCAGCAGATTCGGCCATAGGGAAACATGCATCATTTTGTTGCTGTAGTGTTGTGGCACTGGAAGATGCATTAGCGGTACCGTTGTCCGAGTCGGTTTCATCGTAGGAATTTGTCTCATTTGAGTCCAAATTATTCATACTTACAACATAATCTTGTAGATTTCTTAAACCAGTGTAACTATTTGATAAAGAATGTCTCTGTAAGTGTTGTTGTTTCTGTTGAAAATACAGTGGTTGCTTTTTCCGTAGAGAATTATCAAAGGGCAGTGGTACGGAACTTGGTCTTGGTTTTTTTAACAATGGGGTTTCTTCTCCCATTCCTAAGCCGCCGTATCTCCCTTCATGTTCGTCAAATTGAATATGACCGGATGATTTTTTTGAATGTTCAATATTATTTTCACGATTATTTATACTACCAAAATTATTATTGATATGATTCATTTTTTCAATAAAATTAAAAAAGAAGATTTTTTTGTAAAAAAATCCGGAATGGTTTTTTATTTATAAGAAACATCGTAATTTAACTGATTAATTAATTTAATAAAGTTCGAATATTTTTTAACTACTCATTAATCACACCATACTTAATTCGTAGCATCACATTTGTATTTTTTTATTTATTTATTTTTTCTTTTTAGGTAAGACCAAAACCGAAAATTAGCAAATAATTAGCAAATGTTTACAAATAAGGATCGGGAACTACATTCTCAATCTGGACATGTGTTGAAGGATTTTCTATAAACCCATGTGATAAATCATGATTTTTTATTATTTTAATATTGATAGGTTGATCTATCTCGCTATCTTACTAAATATATGAATGAATAAAAAGAAGACTTTTCTAAAACACTATTATTATATAATTATATATTATTAATTATTACTAATATGAGCATATATAAATAATTTTTAATTTTATTTGATTTTTGTTAGTTAAGGTTATCATCAGTTAGTACAACGTCGGCATCAAAATCCAAATCAAAAACATACTCTTCCTCATTAGAGTTGCCTTCGTTTGTCCTGGTTTGTAATGTGCTGTTATGTTGTTCTCCACCGCCGCCTCTACCGCCACTTTGGTTATAATTACTTATTGGATTTATTTCGGAAAATTTATTATTATTACTTGTTATAAATTTACCATCTCCATTCTCTTGAAACGTATTATTATCATCATCACCACCACCACCACCACCACCACCACCACCATTGTTGTTGTCGTTGTTGTTGTTGCTGTGATAATTTCTAACGTTATTATTTAATCGATTCAATATTTTTTCTTGATCTTTAATGTCTTTATTGTCACCACCACCGCTACCAATTGGTAAAATCTTCTCCGTCATTTGTTCTGGTAACGCAAATGTTCTTTCTGAAATATGAGTGGGCAATTTCTTACCCATTGGATGATCGTACATACAATCTGCTCTTTTGCAATTATATCCAAATTTACACTTTATCGTGGTTATAAAAAAAAAATTTTTTTAAATAAATAAATAAATAAATAATCTTGGTGAAATTATTTTATTTGAAATCAAAATTAATTTCCATAAATTAGCTACTAACTGGTATAGCAGTTGCGTCTGTTTCCATGTCCCATGGGTGAAGAAAATGACATCCAGGCCTTGTGCATTTAGCTCCGTTACGACAAGGTGTTGGTACCTTGTTAATAGTACCACTATTAGTAGTAACATTACTGTACTCACTAATAAAAAATATAAACATTAGTATAATAGAAATAAGTAGCGATAAAATAATAGAATAATAATGATTGCGAACCTATTATAATCAATATGTAAGTAAGGACATGCTGGATTCTGACAATTTGGATAATATCTACAAGGTTCTTGTGATGTAACTAAATATTGAAAACACGTGCAAGTATATAAATTTTAATTATTATTATTATTATTGTTGTTATTTAAAAAAAAACCACTCACATGTAGTAGCAGGAGAAGGATGTGTATAACGACATTTCGGATTTGTACAATGGATCCCAAATTTACAAGGCAAATCAATAATATTAACATTATTATTTAATAAGCCTGACATACCAAGCGCTGCAGGACTTAAATGTACAAATAAACAATTAGCATTAGTGCAATTTTCCCCAAATCTGCATAAAATATTATTACTATTATTATTGTTTGGTGATGTTGCTATTGAAAAATTCATATAATTTTGAGTTGTTATTGTTAAGTCTTCTTCTTCTGTGTGTAATTGTTGTTGTTGTTGCTGCTGCTGCTGCTGGTGGTGGTGGTATTCTTCTTCTTGTTGATTTAAAGCTGGATCAAAATACATCGTAATTTTTAATTTACAAAGATTGTGAATGGGATTAAAATTTTTTTTGATGATGATAATAATAATAAATTGTGATCTTCGTGTATGGATCAAATCAATCAATCAAAAAAATAATCGAAAATTATACAATATGGTTCTAAATCATGAAAATTTTAGCATTGCCACAGTAAAAAACAAAGAAAATATTGCTAATAATAGCAACTTAACGAGGTAAAATTAATTATAAAGAACTAATAATTACAATGATTACAATAATAATTGATATATTGATAATAATAAAATAATTTCAAACAACTTTTTAGCTCAATTAATTTTATCACGGAAGAAGCTTTTGAAAAATATTCATATTTCAATTTTATTCGAACCTGTGAAAAATCTATTGAAGTTAGAAAATTAAATAAAAACAACGACAACAGTAATAAAAGTAACGATGATGATAACAGTATTAGCAATAATGATATTAAGAATAACTTCAATGAAATTAATAATAACAGCGATGCTGGCGATGCTGGCGATGATGATAAGAACAAAAACAACAACGATAATATATCACCTTTACAAGAAATATTTGAAGAATCATCATCATCATCATCATCTTTTTTTGATGATCCAGAAGAATTATTTACTACTAAATCTAATAATACTGTTGAGATTAAGGATAAATCTAAAAATTTAGTTGTTGATCATCGAGCTTTACCTGATGATGGTAGGTTATTATCATTATTATCATCATCACTATTGTGTTAATGATTTAATTGTATACATTTATTAAAATTATTTTATTAAAAAAAAGGAATATTAACAAATGAAAAACCTGTTTCCAAAAATATAACCACGAATTCAAATAAAAGAAAGAATGAAGAACCTAAAAGCGAGATTAAAAGTTTAATTCAAAAAGTAAAGAAACCAAAAATAAATACAAATACAAATTTACAACAAGCACCAACAATTCCATTCTCTTCAATGTCACAAGAGCAACATCTTAGATTCTTGCAAGTGAATGCTCTCTATTCTGTAAATGTAAGAAAATAAATAAATAATCGTTTATATAATATTATATTATCATATTATTAATTGATCTTTTTTTTTTCTATAGGCATCATTAGTTGGTGAAATTGACAGGAAATTCATTCAAGAATTCGGTGAAAAGTTTAAAGAGGAGAAGGAGGATTATATGAGATGGCAATACAGTAGATCAATCGAGAGAGTAAAATATTTAGATAAAGCAATTGCTTACCAAGTTGAGGTAAGTTGACACCTACTCGACATAATTGATTATTTATCTGTATTTGCGTATATTTATGCAAATTTTTTTTTTCAGCGACATTTTACAAAAAAGAGAAAACAAATTGTCAAGGATTATCCTGTAAGTAATAATAACAATAATAAATATGATGATGATGATATTATCCTTATCTAATTATATTTTAATAAATTGATCATCGTTGTTATCATTAGAGATTTTATGAAGTTTTAAGCGCAATTGGACTTGCTCTTCCTCCACCTGTTCCTGGTGATCCTGTGTTAAAATTTGTACAGCAAATTTACATGACAGTAAGTGATATATATATAATGTATTTTGCTAATGAAATAAATCTACTCGTAAGTAATAATATGTGATATAATAATTTATTTATTTATAGGGAAAATGTTATAATTTTGAAATTCCCCCATTTGCATCTCCAATTCCAATACCATTAGAAAAAGAGTATTGGCACGATAATAAGAAAACAATAAATCAAAATGTTGTCACCTCAAATAATATTAATGGCAACCATACGGATACAAATGAATCAAATCAAGAAAATTCTCAAGAAAAAAACGATGAAAATAATGACGGCGACAATAATAAAGATTTACCAAAAACGGATTATTGGAAGAAAACGGTAATTTATACAACTCCTAAAATTAAAATTGAATTTAAATTTATATATTAATCTTTTATTTTTATGTTAGAGTTTACCGGTTGTGAGTAAAGATCCTTTAATCCCATCAATGGCTTCTAAACATAAAGTTGACATCGTAATATCGTCAAGCGGGCTTGTTGCGCTCGTATCTTTACAAGCATCTTCGGATATTGAGTTAGAGCTTCCTCTTCATGTGGTTGAATCAAAATCATGTAAATAAATATATATATATTATAATAACAATCTCATAATTATTAATAATTTTATTTAATAATTTTTTATTTTAATACCAAGAAAAACTAATTAAATTTTTCTATTCTAAAAAATTCAGATGATGGATCAATTATTAAAACTGTTTATATTGATAAACCACTTGTAAAAAAAAAATCAACACCAAGGTCTAGGAATCAAATATTCTATAATACAGCGTTTAAAAGCATGGCATTGAAATCAAAAATGGATATTAATGATATTTTGAATTTTAAACCTACAGGTGAATTTAAAAAAAATTTTTTTTTGAAATAATAATCTCAATAATTATTATACTAAACAATTATAATTTAATTGAATCTACAACAACAGCAGCAGCAGCAGCAGCAACAACAACAACAAAAAATATTGACGAATTTAAAATTTTAAATGAAAATAATGAACCACTGTCATCGTTATCATCTCATAACGATAACGACAATGATAGTGTAATGTACAATTTTTGGAAATTTGGTGGCATGAATGTTCTAATAAGATGTAAAGCACAAGCATTTATTAAAAGTTGCGATAATGATAAAAAGGCTCGAATATTAGGCGTAAAGACCAAATTGGAATATCAATTGGATGCTGGATTAGAGGAGACTACGATATTGGAAAGAGCCTGTTGGTGGATTTATAATTATATTCGACCAGATGCACATTTAATGCTCGGTAGAATTAATGTTCTAAATAATGAATTACATCTTGTTGAATGGAGGAAAATGATTGACATCATTCCGGATGGAAATTGGTAAATGATAGAACGATAGAATAAACTATATAGAATCATGTTTATTTGTTTATTTTAATAATACTTATATGCATTATAAATTTTGATTCAGGCCTACACCATACAGCAATATGATTCATTATATTATGAAGAATTTAAAAGGGTAAACTTGATTAATTAATCAATTATAATTAATTAATTTCTGCCGCTAGCGTTAGTCAATTAATATGATAATCTTTTATTATTGTAGACTACCAGCAGGAACATATTTACTATCCAAATTAAAAGGTGAACAACACGCAACAATCTATAGAAATAACGAAGCGATTGAAACACAAGCATTAACTGCTTCCGCTACCACCACCCCAATGGATATAGAAACTGACGATGATGCTGATGGTACAACAATTAATATACCAGAATATGAAACGCACTTTTATGATCTTCACAAAGCTCATTCAAAACCGCCCAGTCTAGATCGTGAAACTATACCATTTGTCAGATTAAAATGGAATGGTCCACTAGAACAAGTTCCCGACACATTCCCAATTCGTACAACTGATACGAGACCGCCATCGTATTGTCATGACTTTATAATGAATGGAGAGTGTGAAAGATTAAATGTAATTATCATCTATGCTATCATTATCATTATCATTACCACTATTCATTCAACGAGCTAATCAATTGCAAAACTAAAATTTATACTATTTAGTGTTATCATCCACATTTATCATTACGAGAATGTGAAGAACTTGGAGTCAAAATTGATTATTGCTTTAGTTTTGCAAAAAACGGACAATGTAATAAGAGAAGGGTTTGTATATTAATCAATCAATCAATCTTTTGAAAAATATTATTATTATTTTAATTAATCCAATTTTTCTTATGTTTTGAATTAATAAAAGTGCACTTATCTTCATCTCCCAAAAGAAAGAACGTTAGGGATGTCATCATCAACTCCATCATCTTCGTCATCAAAGAAAAATAAAAATAAAAATAAAAAACAATCATCTTCATCTTTGAAATAAATGTTAAAGAGATTACTGTTTATGTGATAAATAATGGCTTCAAATATCAAGTGCATAAATTCAAACCCTTACAATAATAACTTTGAAAGAAAAAGGTTACAAACTCCAAATTAAAAGCGCGTATACTTGAGTCATAAAACAATAAAAATATATTTTGCAAAATTAATCTTCATTTTTTTTAATGAGCATGTTGGAATTCGATGAATATAATATCTTTAATTGACAATCCTTTTATGATCGGCAAAAAAATTCCCATTTTTAATAAGAAATTTAGGGATAAACCATCATCGTTATTTGGACTTTCAAAAACATGGATAATGAGAGAAACCAATACCATTTATAAGCATCCCAGCTCAGTCATGATGGCGATGTTGCATTTGTCGACCTTCAACAGAAATACCCACATTGTATGTATGTGAATATTTGAATCCGAAGAAGGGTGGCCGAATAGAAGTTTGTGGATGAGGCTTAGTTACTTCTGCTTTTGATAATTTTTGAATTTGCATCTGAGAAAATTTTTCCATTTACTCACGTTAGGTAAAGACCTAGCATATTGACCTGCCAGCTATTCGGATATACCAGCTATTGTATTTATTTTTTCCTTAATTTTTTCTCGATATGTTATCGGGTTTGCCACTGAAATATACTCTGGACTCCTTCAATTCTTAAATGTCTATAGAAATTATTTATTAATAAAATTATTTCTTTGAAAATAAATTTTTTTATTAGATAATCAGGCAAATAAATCAAAAGCCAGTAATATAATGGTTCAACCATGCCAAATATCATGAGCCATTTTAATCCATAAGCAATATTTATTAATATGATTTTAAATGGTAATATCATTTTTGAAAAAGAATGGAGGCGGAACGAAATTTAAAATGCGAGAGGTACTGGGATCGATGCCCAGGTCCTCCACTTTGAACTTTTTTTCTCAACTACTTTCATTTTTGCGTGTAACCAATGATTTTTGGTTGGTTGAAAATTAATCATCATAAAATTCATTTTGAAATATTAATATTAGATGTAATAAAATCCAATAAAAAAGATTGCTAATTTTAAAATAAATAATCAAGAAAATGAAGAAAATAAGTCCAATTGAAAAATATTGTCGATTGAATGGATTGTCTGTTCATTATGCGTTTATTTGTGGTAAAGTTGGAACAAATGAAATGAAAACTGGTAGGATTGACTGAGGGGTATAAAGTAATTAATTGAACAAAATTAATTTATACATTTTGATTTGTGATTATCTTCTTTTCATACTATTGTCGTTGTTATTATTATTAGGTTGGAAAATCTATCGATGGCTTTAACATCATTAACAGAGACTGTGAAATTCCAATATTTTGGATTCTTTATAATTGGGAGATAAAACACGTTAGTAAGCTGTAAATCCATAATTTCAATGTTATACGAATTGAATTTAAGAAAATGTTTTGACATTTAAATTTTAATCAAATTTTTTCAGATTTATAGAATTACTAAATTTAAAACAAATCAAAGGAGGAAAGTTGGAATTCCAGAATTGATAAAAAGAATATGTAAAGCGGTAGTAAATTTTGTATTGTAAGTCCTCAAGGCGTTGAAATTAAAGAGGCTTGGAAGTATATATCTGAATTGTTACATATAAAAAAGATTGTGTCTAATTACATATCTATATGTATATTGTGTGTGAATATGCTGATAATTGAGACTAAATCATAATAAATTATATAATATAACACAAGAATTATTTTGTGAATTTTTTTTTATTAAAAGGCAATAAACTATATTCACATATTTGTAAAGATTTAGAGAAATATAGAAACGATAAATATTGTTGTATGTACATAAAAAGAAAGAAAAAATAAAAAAGAAAACTTGTAATCAAATTAAACGAATCATTCACTTTTTCCAATTACTTAATAGTAACAATGCATTTTTCATACTTGCCAAATGCAATTCAAATGGAATATCTACGAGGAGTGGCTTGTCTATTCCACTGCTTAAAACGTTTAATTGCGTTTCAAATAACTTTAACTGATGTTTAATGTTCATGATTGAATCAACCATCAATTTTTTTCTATCGTCAAATTCTTCAAGAAGTTTCAAGTTTCTGTCAAAAATAATTGTATTGATTTGACCATCAAAAATTGACCACAATTCGGAAATCACCTTGTTGTGATCTTTTACAATTATATCCTTTTCTTTTTCAACAATGTTAGCAATTTCTGATTGAATAGCTTGCGAATTCAATACTCTATTGAAAGCACGTATAATAATCATTATTTATTAATGATTGATTACCTTATAGTGAATGAATTTATAATAGATAAATAAATAAAAGTTTATATATCTTTACCCAAGTAAAATATCATTAGTTGATGTAATCAATTTTTTAAGATGGTTATCAGTAGCAACTATAAGTCGACGAAAAATTCTATCTATAACTTTTAGGTGACGTGGCGTCAATGTTTCATCCCTCATATCTTCTAATTTTGTTAATGAGTATCTTATATAAAGCATTGATAAAGAGGCTTGTGATTGGATTTGCAGCTCTCGTAGATTCTTGTTTATTTTATGATCCCAATCAATAAATTTTTTCAAATAAGAAATTTTATAATCAAATGAGATAGGGGAAAAAACTCTCTATATATTTATTATAGAAAAAATTTTTGTTTAATTTTATTATGAAAAAAAAAAGTTATCATGGTTTAAAGTTATTCGATTTATTATTAAATTTAACCAT